CTGGAGGAAAGGTCTTTAATAATGGGAAACTTACTTGTTTGCATTTGGAATTTCAATATTAACATTATCATTAATTTCTGTCTCTCTGTGCAAGAGCCTTTACTGAAATTGTCACTGTAGCTTGGAGCTGAGGCTTTTCTGGAGTCTAATTTGCATAAATACTGTAATGAAGATGTAGCATGCAACAGTCAAAAGGCTGCTGCACTTCAGCATAGTTTACTGATTTAGCAAAATATCACTTTACTTACTTTCTGTTCCTGTAAGGCTGTGGGTGTTTGAGCACTAATTTTGTTCTTTTTTCCCCTCACTCCTTCTGCATTTAAGAAAATTCACCTAAACAGGAAGCTGGGGTTGGAGAAGGCCAAGGAAATGTGGGAGGAGGAGAAGAAGAGGAGAAGAAGAAGCAAAAGAGAGGCAAGGTCTAAATAGTTGATTGTGGTACTGATTTCAAAAGAGTTTGGGGCATCCCTTTCTCACCTGCTGGTCTGGAGCAGGGCACAAATTCCTTGCATTTTGGTGGCTAGCTCTGGAGTATAGGGAATATATAGGGAATATCTTCCTTCCTGTGGTCTGTGCCAATGGAAATGTTGGACAGGAGGGACAGGCAGGGAAAGGTGACCTGCATCCTGTGCCCCACTGTCACCACTGTCACACTCAGCCAGGGAGCAGCTCCTCCCAAGCTGGAATCAGCTGGCATTTCTCCCGGAATGCTGTGCCCTGTTGAGCAGCACTTTATGGGCTGCTTGCAGAGTGGAACAAAGGCTGCTTCCCTCTGTTAGTGCCTCATGACTCTGCTTTGCCTTTGTTCCTTCCACCTCTCTGCATTCACGGAGCTGGATTTGGTTTTGTGCTTTAAAGTCTGTTACTTGTGTCTCCATTAGCAGCTGTGTCTCCTCCCAGCAGTACTAATGAAAAACATTCTCAAAACCCAACTTTGGGAGATACAAAGTTATATGGAACAATTTAAACACACTTTTATCTTCAATCATTAGGGCTCTTTCTGCTGAATTAATTAACATGCTTTCCATCATAAATCAGAGTTCTGGAGCTGTTACTATGCATTTGCCTCTGCAGTGTCAGTTGTGTGTAATGCTCCAGAAATTATGGTTAATAACCAGTAAGTTTCATATTTTATGCTACATGTATTTTTGTTTTATTTTTGGTATCTTGGTAACCAGTTTAATTTACCTTCTCAGCAGGCAATGTCTAGTGACAACAGTAATTCATGTTCTGTAACTTGGATGCTTTTCCCAGAGATGTCAGGACATTTTATTTCAACATTAATTTGTTGTGAGGGGTGGGTGTCATTAGTTTTCAGTCTGGTATTTGGTTCTAAAATAAGTGTTTAAAATATTTGGTGATTTTTCTCCTAGAATCTAAAGTTTCCTGAAAACTTACAGCATGGTGTTAAGTAGGATGGTGTGAGAGTGACCATAAGAGTGTGAGGGAAAACAAGCACAAACTTCACGAGACACTGCTGAAACTCACTGAAGGACATTTAAGGCAGAAATTTATTGACTAAAAATTATCAGACACCAGTTTATAATGAAACAGAATTGGAAGTGCTGCGTGTTAGAAACAGAAACAGTCCCAGGGGTTGGTTTACTTGTCATAAATTCTTTAAGTTTTCATGCTGAGAGGGCTCAGAAACATGAAACTTTGCTTATCCTGGAATAACATGGTGACTGTACACGAAGTTAGCTGAGATCTTAATCTGGCTTGAAGAATCCTAATGAGTGGAATGTATCTTTTGCATGCTTTACTCTGACTCAGAAATGCCTGAAATGGGGAGTGTTCCCACAGGCTGGCCTAGGAACAGACAGGGGAAAGGTGGTGGGTGTTACAAGGTGTGGGACTGGGGTGCTGTGCCTGCTGTCACAGGTGTGGGGTTGGCTGCTGGATCACATTTCCATGTCTGGGTCACTGTGGGGTCGTGCACAGGTGTCCAGAACTTGATCCTGCTGTTTAACCCAGCAGCCTGGGGAAAGCAAGACCTTGTGGCCTCAGGAAATGGGCATGAGCAGCTTGCTTTGCCTCAGGCACAAACCGTGAGGATGTTAAAATAGTTGTGGAAAATATCAAAGAAAAAATGTATTTCTAGAATTATGTAAATGTAGACCAACACAGTAATTGGTAAAGTGTGGGGAAAAGGCCTGTTTTTGCTGATTGTGAGGGGGTCTGCTGTGCAACCTGTGCTTGAATGCACATTTCACATGTATATATATTTTATTTCCCATAATACTGGACTTTGATGCCGTGGGATCTTTCTTAAATAATAGTAAATCTCAGACAATGTGTAAAATACATTTTTGTTTACCAACAGTGTTGGGGAGTTAACAGTTTCTTTTTTTATAGGGGCAAAATCTGACCTTGTATGCTTTTTTCTTTGATGAACTATGACATAATTTAATTAATCATGTAACCTTATGCTCTGTTTTAAGGTGGAAGAGGTCAGATAAAACAGAAGAAGAAGACTGTACCACAGAAAGTTACGATAGCTAAAATTCCCAGAGCAAAGAAAAAATATGTCACGAGAGTGTGTGGCCTTGCCACATTTGGTGAGTTTGTGTTCTCCTGGTATTGGATGTGCCTGTCTTTAACCTCATGGTATTTCTTCTGGTTGTATTCCACTGGGGAATCTGCTTCCAGCTGTGAGATGGAAGTCCCAAGGTGCTTTTAGCAGTTCCAAAGCATGGCAAAGGTACACTGACTTCCACAGGGATAAATTACTGAGGTACTTATTGCCATGATTTTTCAGACAAAGAGGGTTACAGGTTTTTTTTTAAAACAGGCTGCAGACTCACCTCAACAGAATATGCAGAGAACATTCAGCAATTTCTACCTTGAAGCATTTGTAGATCTGTAGAGTCAGATGTTTTGGGTGTAAACAGCAGACTTGGCTTTCAGTGGAAACTCTAGCAAAGCTTCAACTCTAAAGTGCCACTACTTTTTCAAGTTAAAACAGTCTTGGCTTTAATCTTGAGAAAATATTTTCATGACAACTGTACTTAAATTGTTCGTTTTCCCCTGGGCAGAAATTGATCTTAAGGAAGCACAAAGGTTTTTTGCTCAGAAATTTTCCTGCGGTGCCTCAGTAACAGGAGAAGATGAAATCATCATTCAGGGGGACTTCACAGATGACATTATTGATGTAATCCAGGAGAAGTGGCCTGAGGTGAGAAACCTTTCTTTCTCTCAGGAAGACACACACTTTTCCACACTAGCCTGTGATTTACCAATGATTTTGGAAAAGGGGTTCATCTTTGGCAGCACAGATTGGTGCACAAAAATAAAAGAGCATTTGTTGCATTCCCACCCCACAGTGAGGGAGGCATGTCAGAATAAATGCAGCTGTCAAATATCTGTGCCTTCTTTGTGGCCCTTTCTTAACAGTGAGTGTCTAAGTGTTCTTACATTGCCATCCTATTTTTCAACACCTCATAAAATATTGCAAAATTAAAACAAACAAAAAAGCCCCAAGCCCCACACATTTGTGCTTCAGAAGAGATCAGCCAGTGTGGGATGGACTGAAATTTAAGGCTGGGAGCTGTAATTGCAAGGGCTTTCTCTGACTCTCCGTTGTCCTGGCATTTCCCAAGTGGAATTCTTTATGGTTTAACTCCACAGGGCTGTCTTTATTCCCAGCCCTGCAGGCTCAGCTGTGTCCTGTAAGCACGTGTCACTCTCCTGGGATTTACAGCAGGGGATCTGGAATGGGGCTGTTCACTTCTCCCACACCTCACTGCATTTACAGGGGTGCACACTGAAGGAGGCATGTAAAAAGAAAATAATTAATTTGCTGTGTTTTGGCTTTTTCTCCCTAGGTGGATGATGACAGCATTGAAGATCTTGGAGAAGTCAAGAAGTGATAGTGGAGGACTACCTTTATTTAATTATATGGTTATAAATGATATAGCAAAAGTGAGGCTTCTAAATCCATTTGCTCTGCAGTGAAACTGTGGAGAACCCATATCCTTGGCATTCTCACTGTTCTGTATAGGCTGCTTGGTTTTCTTTTTTGTTTTTGGGGTTTTTTTGTGATATTTGCCAAAGTTAAATTGGGGTTCTACCATGCTTAAGCATGAAGTAGATTTAAATAAAATTACTGTTCCTCACTGAATAGTTTCTGAGGTTTTTTACATCTACTTTTCTCTATCTATCTTATGGGAAAATAAGAATTTAAGGCATTAAAAGTTTGGTTTTCATCTGCTGTCCTTTCTGCTGAGCTTAACTGAATAAGGCACTTGGGTGATGTAGACTCTTTTACCTCTCATTTACCTGGGGAGAATTTTAGAAATCAGAATGGAACAAACATTCTAAAGGTTTGTTGGCAGTGAAATAACAGTGAATCCTGAAGTGGTCATTCTACATCCCTGCCAACTGAATTATTTTATTAAATGGAAACGCTGAGAAATATGTGAATATGACTTAGAAATTTATCCTGTTTTCATAATTCCAAAGATCTCCTTACCCTGCTGGGCTTCTAGGTGAGGCAATTGTAATGGCTTTATGCTTTTAACCTGCTGCTCATTCAAGCATGGTAGTCATAAACACGAATTAATAGTGAGCACTATTCCACAGGCCAGGTTAGCAGGTGGGGTGAGGTGCCAGCTCTGCTGTCTGTACTCCCACAAACAGCCTCGAGCATCGATTTGGTGATTTTTGTTTCACTGTTCCATTTAATAACGACAAATGCTCCCTGGTGGCAGGGTCCTGGAAGTGACATGCTCCTGTCATTGCAGAACCTCGGGGAGCTGAAAGCCGAGGGGGTGATGTGTCAGACTCTGTTCTCTTCCTGTAAGGTTGCTTTTTTCAGTGATTTCTGTTTATAAACCATGGGTGTGTCTGGAGAGATAACTCCATCCCTGTCGTTGGAAATAGTGTCTCTCAAGGGCTGCCTGCATCTCTACAGTCCTCCCGTTTAACACTGGACAGGAAAGTTGCCTCTAACCCATAACATTCCGGCCTGGTTCTGACTCATCCCCTATTAACAACATTATTAATTATGACATTTTTCTAGCAGCTCGAGCCCTGGGGTGAGGAGGCGGTCGCAGGATTCGAACCCGCGGCTGCAGGACTCGAACCGTGGGGCCCTGGACTCGAACCCGCGGCCCCTTCGCTGCGGGGGGCGGAGCTTCTTCCAACGGCGGGCGGGGCCGGGCGGTGCCGGTGGGTCGGGGGGCGGGC